GTGTTTTCTTTCGTGCCTTCTTAAGCTCCCATCTTATTTTCTGATATAAGGTCTCTTGCTGAACCTGGGGCTCACGTCAGCAAGACTGGCTGGGCAGTAAACTCCAGGGATTAACTGGTCTGCACACCCCCCGTGTTGGGATTTTAGGCACGTGCCTCTGTTCCTGGGTGTTGTTTTGTCTGTGTTTTAAATGTGAGAGCTAAGGATTCACACTCAGCACTTTACCAATCGAGCCATCTTCCCAGTTCCCTCTCTCTGCTTCCTGGATACCAAAAGGTAGGCTATGTCTCCCCCACAGGCTCCTACCGCCCCAAAAGCCTGCCTCTTCAAGCTCAAAGCTCTAGACTGACACCTCTGAAACTCTGTCTTTCAAACTGTTTCTCTCAGGCATTTGTTACAACAGTGAAAAGGCCAAGACAGGCCCTTGCTGCTAACTCAGTTATGCTGAAATACTTCCCATTCCTTCTTTGCTGACAGAAATTGTTTCTCTCTTCACAGGTAAGGATAAATTTGACTACAAAGTTACACAGCTCTTCATTGGCAATGGTAAGTTATGGAACCTAGGCCAGGTTATAAAGGCAAAGCTCTTAAACACTAGTTTTAGAATTAAGACAGGCCTGGGCTCAAGTTCAGTCTCCTTTACTAGCAGTGTGACCTTGGGTAAATGACAATTTGTCATCATTTTCCTCATTTCTAAAATGGGCATATTAGCAACCCAACTCATCACACGGTATAAAGTAGGAAACATTCAATTTTCCGATAAGTTACAAGTTCCCAAAGCACTGAAAATAATGGAAGAGTACAATATCCCAGAGGCAATTATAAACACTAGCAACTTAAGCCATGTGTCACTGAATCTCTGTGGAAAGTGTTTCATGTTTACTTTTCTTCTACTCATGAAACACTCCAGTATTTAAATAAAACATACAAATACAAACTAGAGCCTAAAGAATTATAAAAATGTAGCCAAGTGTGGTATTACATATATTTTGTACCAAGCAGAACAGGCCACACTCCTGAACACAAAGGTTATTACTAGCCACAGTAAAGGTGCTTTAGGTAAACTAGTCCTATCTGGGCAATGATAATTTAAAACAATTATCTTAAAAGTCAAGTGTAAAACAAATTCATATCATTTTTTCTGAAAATTAGTTTAACTTTTGATTCCACTTCCAAGTCATATTTCAAATAAATTTCAAGGCTTTTCTGTTCCCTGAAAAAATATTTAAAAAAAAATCTAACAAGGAATCCACAGAAAATAGGCTAATTCATTAGTAAACTGGCTCAAATGAGTTTAGTTACATACTTAATGAAGAACATGAAAATAAACTCAACTGATGAAGTCACTTTATGTTTTCGATTTGGAAAACTAATCTGCTTTGCATGCTTCAAGAAACATATCCATTACTTTAGCATAATGACAGTTTAGGTATTAGCAGTAATACACTGTATTTAATAAATAAATTTAAAAAAAGGAGCTTCGACACAAGAGAAGGCTTTGAACCCCCAACAATCATCTGAACCAAAGGCATTCTCGAACAAGCATACCTCAAGTCGCCTGGCTCTTTTTTCCCTGGAAGCTGCATGTGCTTAAAGTCGGCTGGTGGGTGCTCTTCAGACACACTGGGCTCCTGGCTTATCTTGGAGACTTCTGAAGTAAATGAGAGATCCCCTTCACTGGAGATTCCAAAGAGCTCCGGGTCATCTTGAATTACATCAATCAAGAGGACATCATCTTCATATGCTTTAAGGATATCTGGAAACCCCAATTTGAGTTCTGAAATGCTTTTAGTCATTTTTCTACCACTGACTTCAGAAGAAATTGGCACAAATGCTTCTTGTTCCTTAGAGCAGAATGAACTTTGCTCAATATACCCACGATCACAAGAAAAAGTATTATTTTCAATTTTAAGAGAAATAGACTCCTTATTAGAAATAATATTGCCTGGTTCAGAGATGTGACTATATGCATTATCATAACATTTCTTTGCAAAGCTTGGAGACGTGCAGGAAGTCTTACTGTAGAACGAGTGAGAACTAGCTTGCCCTGGAGTTACACTATTATGTATAGTCAAAGACTGAGGTCCCGAAGTTGCCGTGCAGATATTTTCCTTATTCCTGTTTTGTTTTGCTTCTACTCCCGATAAACTGCCTAGTAGCTCTAGGGGACTGTAAGCTTCTCTCTCACATGATCTGGCATTTACTTCTTTTCTTTTTCCCATCTTGTTCTTCAGTAAAGGGATTTTAAAATTAGTCAGCCGTCCTGTGTTTAATATTTTAACCAAGTCTGGAGTCACAAGTGTTTGCTTACTAATGCAAGCTTTTCGATGAATAGTTTTGTTTGCAAAGTTATTTGCTTCCTGGCTGTCTTGGGATGCCATGGTCAAATTAAGTTTGGATAAATTCCCTCTCTTTTTCTTATTTCCTGTTAAGCTTTGAGTTATATTAGCGAGCTGGGTGTCTTCAGTAGCATTAGAAACTACCTCTGTCCCATTTCTGCTGGGTTCCTCTAACTTTATTTTTTTATCACTGGGTATGGCTTCCTTTATAACCATCAAAGTAGGTGCGACTGAAGAAACTGAAGACAAACAATTTAAATCAGAATCATACATTTCTTTCCTTGAGGACTCAATGGGTCTTTCTGCTAAGGACTGTTGTAACTGTTTGACAGAGTCAGTTAAGTGAGTTTGGTTTGTCTGGTGTATGACAGATTCATGTTGCCTAACATTTTCCAGAGACCCTGGAAGCGGGTAATTTAAATCTAACAGGGAAGTCTTTTTCCAACACTGGACTGATATTCTAGCACAAGAGTAAAAAGGCCACGTTCTTTTACCCGTCATTGGTATTATTCTGCGGCAGCTTACCTTTGAGTCTTCAGTTTCATTTCTCAAATCTCCCCATGGAGATCTTTTCCCTATAGCGTGACTATCACTAGGTGATTTCACTGCAGAGCTTGTCATCGATTTAAAATATTCTTCTGGCTCCATACTTTTGCATCCTAAGGACTCTGGAGTGTTTTTAATATCCTCTTTCAAATGTGATTCAAGGGTTTTCTGAAACACAGCATTTACTTGATGTCTGGGACTTGTTTTCCCTACTGTTTCTGGGAGACATAAATGGTCCACTGGCGAGAGTATATTATGGTTTATTTTTCTTAAAGCTTTTAGAAAACTCTTTTTAGACTCTAAGGTCTCTGTTTCTTTCCCTTCTGCACCCATTTGGTTTTCTTGTAGCACCAACTCAGAACTGTTATACACATTAGAGAAATTGAGATCAATAATTTTTTCTTCTTTTTCGGACAGTTTCACCTTCTTCCTGTGTTTTCTCCCAACGCTACTCTCCTCTATTGAATATTTGTTTTTTTCACTTTGAAGGCAAGAAATCAAGCCATTGTTTTTATTTTGGTAAAAATGGCTTTCTTCAAGCAGCAATTTACTGGCTATGACATTTTCTTCAGTTTTTAAGAGCTTAGCAGTAGTTTTTGGGTCATCCTTCTCTGCAAGACTCCTAAGGTTTTCTTTCTTTAACTTCAAAGGGTTCTCTGCTATGTGCATACATATATCATGAGGGTTATAGTCAAAGTCGTTCTCATTAAGACCCTCAGAATGGAGGAAACTGTAATCCTGTGATTCAGAACTGCAATTTTTTTCTGCTCCAGGTGATAAGCTGCTACAAGAATATTTTGGAGTATTCTTGTACAGTTCATCTTGGAATTCAACCTTAATATTTTGTGTTGCCTCGTTCTCGGTTATTTTGAGAGGTGGATTTTCTAAACTTTTACATTTTTTAATTCGAATTCTTCTTTTAATACCTTCTACCAAATCTTCCTTAGCCAAAGACTGTAAGAAAGCCATATTCTGAAATTCACTGCACTCCACTGTTTGTAAAGATTCCGAACTGGTTAATGATGCCTTTCTTACCAGGTCAGTCCCTGGCTGTGGATCCTCACTTGGGGCTTCGGTAACGTTTCCTTTCTCTTTGGCTGATCAAAACAAGAAAACACACCAGAAGACATTTTTACACTGGGCAGAAAAAAGCAACACCAGTTAACAGAACACTTGCGAAGCCATCCATTTGTATTTCCCCGAAGAGCTATTTAGAAACACAAACTGATTTTCATATTAAATACTGGAAAAAAAAACATGTAAACAGGTTCCATTGCACAGCCCAGGCTGACCCCCAAATTTGAGATTCTCCCGACTCAGCCTCCCATCTCTGGGATTATGGGTGTGCATCGCCACGGCCAGCTTTAACATCTAATCAAGGCTACCAATAAACCTCTATGAATTCTAAAGCCGCAGAAGAAACCCTTATAGCATCGTTTTACCCTAGTTGAGACAAACCACTCCTCCTAGATGAACGCAGACTTTTTTTTTTATATGAAAATCCTTTCCACCTCGCCTCTCTCATCCATCACGTGCATTTGGTAAACGCCACCACAAAAATCAACCGAGGGTTAGCAGTAAAACAAAGGCGCGCGCGCAAAGGCTTGAGGAGCGGCCACCAGTTTTCTCACTGTGTCTTCCGGGGTGAAAAACGGGGGGGGAGCTCCGCCTCCTCCACTGCTCCCGTTGCAGCAACCGAGGCCCACCTGTTCCCCGGGGGGCCCCCTCTGCTCGCCGCCTTTCAGGCCGCGGATGTCTCACCCAACTCATCACCTTCCGTCGCTTCTCCTCCAGGAGCCCCGGCCGCCACCACTCTCCTCTTCTGCCTGCTCTCCTCCTCGCGCCCCCGGGTCTCAAGGCTGCAGCCTCCCACCCCGTCTGGCTCTGGGGTCGGCTGAAGGCTTCGCTTCCTCAGGCCTCGGCCGTCGTCTTCGCGCCCCGGGGCCGTGGCGGGGCCTGGGGGTGGCGTTGGTGGCCTCATCTGCCTTCCCCACCGCCGCCCGCCCGCCCACCGGGCCTCTCTCGGAGGAGCCCACCAGGCCTGAGAGCAGAGGGGAGTGGGGGGAAGCTTCCACCGCAGGACACAGCCCACGGCTCGCCCTGGGCCCGTTCGGCCTGTGCACCTCCGCCTACCCGACTCAGCAGGAAGCGGAAGTGAGGCTGGCTGGGCTCGGCTGGGGGCAACCGGCTGGGCGCCTCGCGGTCCGCCCGACCACATGCTTCCCTCGACGGGCCCCCGGGGTCGCTGCTGCAGCTGGAGGTGACGGAAAGGGCGGCACTGCACCGGTTTGTTGTCTTGCCCGCTTTGGGCCTCCCTCTCCACCCTCCAGACCTGAACTTCTGGGCGCGGGGGAGGTTGCCTGGGCGCCTTCTGCGGGCCACCACTCCTCACACCCGGACTAACCGTTTGTCCGCCAGTGGCTTCCGACTGTTCTCTCGGGAACCCACTGTGTCGCTTCCTTCCCAGGGGCTTCACATTCCCGCAGAGAGTCCAGGGGCATCCCAGCTGCAGACACCGCCACATACCACTTGTTTCTCTAGAAGACCACGTCTCTTCTGTTGGTGGATACAAAGCTCTGGATGCTCTTCTGGATTCCTTGCCCCGTAGGTTTGCCACATCTACTTGATTCTACTTGTCTGTGTCCCCTCTCCCTTTGCCGTTGTCGCGTGGCTCTGGCCTTAGGCTTTGACTTATAGCGTCACGATTCTAAATTTCATTGACGTCTCCATTCTTGTACAAGTTCTGTGAAACTTGACCAGCTTGCCAGGCCTGGCCTCTTCATTGAAAGAGGATCCTGGCGTCCTTCACCTTGACCCTTCAGGAACTTGCTTTGCTTAAAGGTTAGCATGGAGCTTAAACTCCTTGTGGGTTAGTTTGGGTCCCGCCTAATGTGCCTGTGTGGGCATATTTTGTCAGTATTGTCTTACTGCCCATGGAGGGAGGAAAAAAAAAGTGACCTTCAGTGGAAAATTATGCAAGACAGACACACTTCCAGTTGTTGCTGATTCATTTGAGCCTTGTTGTTGGTGTAGCTCAGCCAGGCTGGCCCTGGAATTCGCTCTGTAGACCAGGCTGGTCTCGAACTCACAGAGATCTGCCTGCCTCTCTGCCTCCCGAGTGCTGGGATCAAAGGCTTGCACCACCAAAGCCCCGGCTTGTTCTTTGTTCTTAAGCTGTGAACTAGTAGCTAATAAAACGTACTTGATGAGAGCACTAGACTAATTCTCACATCTGTATGTGAGGCAGGCCTTTTAAAATAAACACCACACACGTCTCTCACTTATGCCGCAGGAAGCTACTACTGGAATTCCCCAGGTCGAGTGTATTCTGCTTGTGCCCTATCTGTACACTGGTTCTTAAAGTCATCCCTTTGCTTGTGTGCCTGGACGACTACCATCCACCCCCCTTTAATGCTCAGCCTCGCAGAAAAGCTTTCTGTTACCCTCGTCTTTACATTCGGAAAGGCCAGAGATTCCCTTCTGCATATTAACACACCGTTTTCTTTTTACCGTTTCATGGGTATGTGTGTTTTGTCTGCACGTGTGTCTGTGCACCATGTGGTGCTTTGAATGAGAATGGCCCCCATAGGCTCATATATTTGAATGCTTAGTTATCAGAGAGTCGGACTACTTGAGAAGGGTTAGGAGGTGTGGTGGGAGGAAGTGTGTCACTGGGGGTGGGCTTTGAGTTCTCAGAAGCTCAAGCCAGGCCCAGTGGTTCACAGTCTGTTCCTGCTGCCTGCAGATCCAGATGGAGAACTCTCAGCTACCTCACCAGCATTATGTCTTCATGCCGCCGTGCTCCCTACCGTGATGGCGGTGGACTAAACCTCCGAAACTGTAAGTAAGCTCCAATTAAATGCTTTCCTTTGTAAGAGTTGCTGTGGTTATGGTGTCTGCACGGTAATAGAACACTGACTAAGACACATGTGCATCCCTGGTGCCCACGGAGGCCAGAGAAACCTGTGACCCAACATACAGATGGCAACCTTAACGATGGTCCTCTTCAAGAAGCCGGGGTAATCAGGAAACATTCAGCATCTGAACTGCTAGAACTGGAGAGAACTTTTGAACACTCAGGGAAAGAGCCTGTCGATGTGAGACTGTGGGGCTAAGGGGTTGATGGGATCAGTCTGATACTGTGGAGGCAGAAACACCGAGTGACATAACTGTCCACCCCCCCTTAAGACAAGACTGCTGCGTAAACCTGAGGCAGTTTGAGGGACTCAGTTCCTGATGGACTGATTTATCAGAGCCATTAGGAATACTTTTCAATCTCCATCTGAGGCCCCCATAAATATCAAAGGCTGGGGACAGAGGGTAGGTGCTATTGAGGGAACTGGAATTAGAAAAGCTGTCTTTGAATTCCAATTCACTGGACCCAATAGAACTATGTTCACAGGGGAGTTAAAGGAAAGATAGATTCATGGAGGACCTCAAGCCTGGTTTGGAGTTTCAGCAGCTTCGCTGGGCTCCTTTTGTGGGACAGGATCTTCACAAAGTAGAAGAGGCTTTGGCAGACCTGAGTGACTTAGCCAACATGTAAAGAGTGTCTGTAAAATGAGAGAGTAACCTAGAGCAGAAAAGAGAAAGGCAAAGCAGAGGAAGAGGTCTGTCTGGGTTACCCGAGGACAAATGCATTAAAGTTTGTGTAGAGTTGCTATGGAAAAACATGATACGGAGCCAAACTGTGTGCTAAGACGGTTCTGGGAGGCATCAAACCCTGAGGAACACTACACAGATGTTCACGATAGAGCAATACAGGTGCAGATGATCAAACCTGTCCCAGGGGTGGGTAATTATCCCCCCCAGACTAAGGAGGGTACATTTCTCCCTAGGAAAAAAGGTTATGCTAGGGATAGAGATGGTTTGCCCAGGTGTGGTAAATGGGGGAAGCCACAGCTACTGTGCCAACCCAGGGTCTCTCCGTCCCAGGGAGCCAGCAAATGCAGCCGGGGTGGGCAAGGAACACTTTCTCCCTTAGCCCCAGGTGGCAGCGTTGGTTAGATTAAGCCAAGCCCACTTTGTTAATTAGGGGTGAAGTGTAAGGAGTCATCGCCATGGAAGAGCTCCCAGGATATGAAAATGTAAAGGCCCAGAATGACGGAGGATCACAGAGAGCTCATTAAGTTACAGGCTCCTGTCCATGCTTTCATACCCAGCCTCCATCTGTGGAGGAAGCCAACTGATACAAGTGGGTGGGGCCTTTCTGTGCTGTGTTTAGACCTTGCTGGTGTCCCACTTCAGTGTCTTGTTAGTTGTGAACTTCCGGGCTCACCCGACACCTGCTCAGAACAGACAGCATGGGTCTTCAGAGCCCTTCACAGAGGTTGTCGCTGCGATCTCACTGTGTGCTACGAGACTGTGGTTCAGGAGGCTATGTTGCCCTGCTCGTCCTCTGGAAAAGGCCTTGTCATACAGATAACGCAATGCTGACCTTTGAATGTTTTGAAGATCGGGAAGCCATTAGAGAGACACGTGAGTGCGCCTTGAATAAGTGCGGGGTATCAATTAGTTGGCAAATAGTAAGCAAGGGTATCTTGAAGGGGAGAAACAGACGCTGCTGAAAGCCAGAAGGCTGTTGCTTGAGACTCCCAGCACGAGGTGTCAGTTATCGCTCTAGGAGCTGTGATAAAGGAGGCCCTCTGGGTGCCTAAAAGAGGATGGCTGTTGCCATGGTTGTGGGTTGCATTATAGAACTGAGTAGTAAGACGCTGTTGTTGGAGACGTAGTTCACGCTGGTTGCAGGACTTGGAGAAAAAAGCTAGAATTGGGCCTGAAAGGTCTTCTGATGAGCTAGCTCCTGTAATACTAGACGTTGCTGCAAAGGAATGCTGGTGTGTGTGGGGGTCATGCTTCCTGATGGAAGTGCCAGGTAAACCTGGCCCCGCCTCTCACCCACCTGCTCCTGGCAGGTGTATGAACCCTGGCTCTTTCAAAGAAAGGCTCCACCCACTTCTGCTCTCTTTTTCCCCACCGTTTCTCTGGGGGGCGGGCAGGGCCTTTCCTGTCCTCCCCACCCTTCTCTTCCATCGCATCTCTGTGATTCTTTGCCTTATTTTCTTACCTCCCCTTGAATAAAACTTTCAGCATGAGTCACATCTACAGGTCTCTGTTTCCCCGTCTGCCCACCGTGTATCACCCACCCCAGGACCTTGATTCTCAAAGTCCCAGCACCGGACCGGTGACCTGCCACCTGCAGTTCCAACCCGTTATTCTTTATTCTTAACAATAGTGGCAAGAGTGTTACAAGCAGCTATCTGATAAGGCCCGACTTCTCTCCTCAGGGAGACATTTACATCTACTACTGGGAACATAGATTAAAAACATGTGGCTGGCAAATTTACAGGCGCAAGTGGGAAAGCCACTGTTGCTGTTTCTCAAATGGGTGCCATTTACCTGTCAGACACAGGCATTTGTGTTTCTGTCCTTTGATCACGGTTGTCATCCTGGCTGTACTCCTGTTGCTGTGGCACAACGGCCTATCTGTAGTCTCTCCTCCAACGCTCGGGGATTGTTGTGGAAGAGGGAATAGAAGGAAGGCAAGTGTTCTTGCCTGCGGGGAAGCTAAGAACGTAAGCAACTCAAAGTAGCTTCTGGAAGCCCCTGAAACTGACCAGATTGAGTGAAAAGTGAAAACTTCTGGGACACTCTCAGACAAGACACGCTGCAGAGAAGACTCGGACCAGCCAAGCAGGTAGGAAGAAACAGATACAAACCTGAACCCCTGGAGCAGCCTGCACAGCCTGGAAGGGACGCAGGTCAACTGGGCCACCAGGAGAGGACACTCTCCAACCTGCTGAGCTGCCCGCAGGCTGTGCAATGTGCTCCTGTCACCAGTGCTGGGCAGCTTTGATTGAGTCATTTCTGCTCCTTCAAGTGAGGAGGCCAGGCCACAGGTTGTGTGGAAGAGCGTGGCTGCTGAGGCCTGACCCTGGCGGCTGCTCCCACTGCTTGCCTTCTGGGTTGCCCCTTGTCCCTTCACCATGGGTTCCCCTAACCTGCTTCTGGGTTGCCCCTTCATCATGGTGTCTTCCCTGACCTGCTCCCAAGCCCCACAGTCTACCTGGTCCTGGGTCTGCTGGGGAAGCCATCCCACGCATGGCTTGATGAGCACCATCACCAGCCTCAGAGCAACTGGTCTGTGGGCTGGGAGGGTCTACAGGCTGGGGCTGGCCAATCAGAAAAGAGCAGATCCTGCAGCCCCCTCCCATCCCCTCTTAAGACATGCCAGGCTTGTTCAGATTTGTTCTGACATGTCCAAAGATGCCACAGGCAGTCAGATTTAACTGCTACTTGCTTAGCCAATCAAGTTTGTTGGAGGTGACCTAACTGCCCCTGGAATTCTCCTAGTTGTGTTTAAAAGGAGCCTTCAAACTTCTTTTGGGGTCCCCACCATTTTGTTGTGTGACTGACCCCAGCATGTGGGAATTCTTCTCTAGAAATAAGTGCTCTTGTGGATTGCATATGTGAGTGGTTGTCTTTGTGGGGTGATCTGTGGGCCCTAACAAAAGCAACCTCTCATGCATATTCCTGTAAGTAACCCCACCAAAAAAACTAAATAGTTAATCATTTTTGGACTTTGGTGGAATCTAGATTTGGAATCCAGGTTCACTTTGGTCTGTCCTGGGCTCACTATCTGGGGTGAGTATATGTATATGTTGTGTTGTGTTTCCCCAGGAGAAGTCTGTCACACAGCACACATAAAATTGAAAATTATTAAAATGTAATTAAATATAAATTAAAAAGCATATAAACATAAAAAAGTGAAGGGACACTAGCCCACTCAAGCACGTGACTCTGGCAGACCCATCTTTTCCTGCTCCCTTGCTAGAAAACATAGATTATATACCTGAAGCCAGCCACTGAGGTCTGCTCCCTTCCTTGGCCATCTCCTTCTCCTGAGGGTGACTGCCACAGTCTGGCTATCAGAGTATTAAAATCCAGCAATCAAAAGCCCCTTCATCTAAGTAACATGCCCCATCAAAATACAACACCACATCCTAGTCCACGCTAACAGCTCTCCCCTTCTTCTCTTCTGAAAAAATGACACCTGCAACGCCATTTGCCACTGTTTTTCTGCCTGAGTCAGAAGGCAGCCACGCTAACTTCCCCAATTAACAGAGGAGTTTTCTGTGGAAACAGGTGTTTGGGTGTGGTTTGTGCTTAACCCGGTGTCCAGGAGAGAAACCTCCCCACCCTCCCAACCCCACTGTGCTGGGGACTCCTTCAAAAACTATATGGAAAACAAGGATGATAGTAAAAATTTATCACTTTCTAGTTCTTTTTATTTTCTTACTACCTGACCTTTTTTTTTTAAAAAAAAATATTTCTTTCTTTACAAAAGGATTTTGCTGTATTTTTAATTACCACCTTCACTTGTGAGCATGCACAGGCCCTCACATGTATACTTCAACACATGCAAACAAGTAGATAAACAGTAATCTTTAAAAAGTCTTTAGGCTTCTCTAAATCTACAGCTTGCTACCTCTCTCTCTCTCTCTCTCTCTCTCTCTCTCTCTCTCTCTCTCTCTCTCTCTCTCTGTTGCTGCAATGTAAAAATAGTTATAGTTATTTGCTCTATAAAGTCTTCCACTGACTGGATTTGGGTGAGTGAATTACTTTGCGGTAATTTGTCATCTAATTCTGTTTTTTGAACTTTCTTCAGGTTCTTTTTTTCTTTTCAAAATGTTATAGGTGGCGATGCATTTTTTTGGTTGCCCCCCCCCCGCACTGGGAGGTGCATATTCCTAGTATTCCCTCCCATGACTTAGTGGCTGGTAATACTCAGTGCTATGTGCATTGATTCATAGTCCCCATGTTACCTTTTCCTTAAAAAA